TTTCAAATGATGAAATTTTGGCATGAAGTTCCTCAGCAGTCATTGAATAAGGTATTATTGAAGTATCAATTGGAACTAATCCCACCTATTGTTGACGTATTCTGCAAACTTCAATCATTTTAACAACTTTGGTTTGATCTTTTGCACATATTGTTAGACCATAATAATTATATGCTGATCGCCAAATTGTAATAAGCTTTGCAAATACATTAGAATTAATCCCATGAATATTAAAAAATCCATTATTTTCATTTCTTTTCTTGCGTATTAATCGGATTGTTGGACCAGCTAGATTTGTGATAATCCATTGAACTGATAATGTACTAATTGACATCAATACAATAAGAAAATCAACAAAACTTTCATTGTATTAACCAATTCCACGCATTGAGTTTACTCCACGTTCCATTTTATCAAGAACTTTAGTAACTGCTTGTGTCATACCAAAAAATACTGGACGTTGCTCATCTATAGTTTTATTAATCATAAAAGTCATACATCTTCCAATCCAATCTTCAAGTCCATTTGTTTCAATAGCCTCAAGAATTTGACCAAGTGCTGGATATGATTTGATAAGTGAATGATAAGAATCATCCTTAAGTTCAAGAATAATATAATTTAAAAGACTTTTGAGAGTATCAGATGTAGCTGATCCAGGTCGATGTTTGATAGTATTTATAACAACCTCATTAGGCTGTTTAAAATTCATGTTAAGCCATTTATGATCTGAATTATAATTAAATTGAGTACGTATAGTTTGAGGAATTTCCTGTCCTTCTTTAAGAAGAAATAAACAATTAATTTGAGCAATAAGAGTTTGCATACGACGGTTATGTTTGTTAAAAGCTTCATTAAAAACTAAAGATACACATGGTGGACAAAATCTAGAATGAGTTTTTCCTACGCAATTATTATGTTTAAAATATCCTTCAGCTTTTTCATTACTATCAAAAAGAGAATCATTTCATAAAATTTGATAATCTTTGCTATTAGTCCCATATTTGGCCAATGTAGCATAATTACAAGAGAAAAACCCATTACAAACTAATTTAAAATATGTTAGTATCTGATGTACAAGATTTAAGAAAGTTAAATAAAAGATTATTATTACCTTTGTATTGCGAATTAATATTATCCTTGTATTGCAAATTATTAGAATCATTATGTTGTGAATTATTATCATGATCATTGATACTGGTAACATATTGAGAAAGAAAAGTTGTTCGTGGTTTTATATATGCTCTTTTGTCAACTTCTGCTTTATTATTAATGTGCAATGCGGTACTAATATGAGTTAATAAATGGTCTCCATCATTGGATCGATGTAAAGTGATTGATTTTCCGGTATCATAATAATGACAATAAACATGCTTTTCATCTAATTTTTCAAACTTTTTATCAAGAAGTATATCATTTAATCTTGGCTTT